AAATGATTATATGGTTTTTTGGATAAAAAACTAAAAATTCTTTTGAGATTAACTAAAATGGTGAAATAATTTCACCATTATTGATGAAATTGGGTGTTGAATTGGCAAATTTGGTGCAATCGATTTCTCCAGATCTTTAGATAAAACTATAAGAACTCTATTTAAAAACTTTTGTTTTGATATTAGGCGGAGACTACCAATTGTAATGTGCCGTCTAAGAATGGCCGAAACGGTAAAAGAGGCAGTTACTTTTATTGAACAAGGTCACATTCGTGTTGGACCAGAAACCATTACTGATCCCGCGTATTTAGTCACGAGGTACCTATCATTCTTTGTATATAACGTACAAATTATAGTTGTTAATTAATTTTGAATAATTTAAATAGAAATCTAGAAGACTTTGTTACTTGGGCAGATACTTCAAAGATAAAATGCAAGATCATGAAATATAATGATAAGGTTTGTTTAATATCAATTATATTTTCACATTTTATATGCATGTTTTTTTTTTATTAATATAATCGCTTACACTTCTTTTCATGTTTAAACATAGCTTGATGATTTTGACTTATTATAAACTAGAACACAGCTAATAGAAACACATTATGTCGAATATACGACATTATACAATTGAATCATTTTTACGCAAATTTATTATTAAGGCTATTATTAGGAAAGCAGAAATTTATAGTGTATTTTAATCGTCCAGAATTCTGTTACATTGATAGATTCTATAAAACCCGCGGCGACATGTAAATAGTATATGCTTTTAAAAAAAAAAATAGGGTCTAATTTTGTAAGAATAACACAAAGTTTAATTACTTGCAAAATATCAACCCCATTTTTTTTAATTATTTATAAATAGCAATTATTGCCAACAAGTATAAATGTGCGTACTATATGACAATGTTCTATGATATAAACAACCAAGTTCATTCCCGAGCAACAATAGTTAAAAATTCCTTGAAATATTTTTCATGTTACAATAAGTTTATTCATTATTACAAATGATTCACTTGTTTTTTTTTTGAATAGATACAAATTTTATTTAGTTTATGTATCGTGGATTCCAAAACATCTTAATTTATATGTATATATACAGTATTTTATTGCAAATGCACGTGTGCTTACAATAAAAAAATTACAAAAAAATCGGATACAACAAATTATTATCAAATTATTAAAAGAAACTACCATAGATCCGATGCCCTTGGTCGATTTTTAGTTCGATTTATAGATGTAGACTGTGAACCTGCTTGCGTGTTTATACTTTGAATATTGATCAAATCGCGTTTATATGATCTTTCATTAGATTTATTTGGTGTTTCATCAGCTTTATTCGGTATTTCGTCAGCTTTATTCTTTTTCTTCTTATGTTTTCTTTCTTTTTCATCTTCGCTTTCATTCGATA